CGGAAACGACGGTCGAACTATCAGTTGTGGTGTATGTGTGGACGATGAGACTCCATAAAGTTTTATTGGTTCGCTTGCGTGGGGGGGGTTGCTTTTTCCATGATGTATGCACTAATGTTCTCTGCCAGCTCCTACAGAGCGAAGGTTTTCGCACACAACTACCTAAGTTTTACTTGCGCTAGTATGACTGTACTCACTGTCCGAGTGATTCAACTCTGTCGCGGCAGGATGACTTCCCGGCCGCCCGGCATGTGCGCCTACCAGTCACACTCCGCTTGCATTCGAGTCACTTGGGGTTGTCAACCATAAGGCACCGTGCGTACGATTTGTGAATTTTCACTTATAGAACTTGTGTGAATACAATATTCGGGGTCATCTCAGCAAGCTGATTTTTGGAAAGAGCGGCTCTGTTCCGGCCTGATTTTCTCATTTTGTCCACCCGGTTCGTACGATGGCGGTAATAGTGCCTGATTTGCGTGGTTAGTCATCACATAGGCTGAACACTGTGGCTGGATTGTCGGATGTACCGATTGCCAGATTATTGTTGGTTGGGGTCGTCGCTTCTGTTGTTGCGCTCACCACATGAACCCAACCATGTCTTGAGTAGATTTGGCAGGGAAAAGACGGCATTCCTAGTGCCACCATTACCCTTATTTGCGAATGTCTGTGATGATGGGTTCGAGCGAGAATCCGAAACGTCAGGCCAATAACTTTCTTGTTGCAGTGATCGCATCTTCTGGAAAACCTGGTATGTTCAAACGGGGGTCGGCGCACCGGTCGACTAAATTGGCATCTCAAGCCTCCCTTATCGTGGGTAGGTCCGTCTGGGAACAGCCTCGAGCTAGAAAGCTCACTTCGAAGGGGTTGAGGGTACATCCAGTTTGTTCAGGATGCCTTGCCATGTGAGACTCAATCTTTGTGTCGTTTCCAGTTTCCACCCCTCAACAGTCCCATCATCAAAGTTACGTGATCAGGTTACACCTCGCAGCGTCGAATTGTGAAGGTCTATGCGTCACGCCCACCCTGGAAGACGGGTTGCCTGTTAGCCTAGCTGCTGGCTACCCTGCGCGTTCACAGGTGGCGGATAGTGGGATGACCTTCAGTGAAGGTTAGCTGTGAAATAAGCAGGCCCAGGACTGGGGCTTTATTGCTGACAACCCGACCAAATTCGTTCGCTGGCGTGAGCACTTTGAGCACCATCTCAATTTCGATACCCAACCTACCTCGCCCTTCCTCTCCTCTTCAGCAGAGTTTTTTCCCTCTCTTATCTATGTAGTGTCATGCGACCCCCCACCCCTGAAGGAGAAGTCGCTAATGCCATACGAAAGTTGCGCAACAATAAGGCGCCCGGAGAAGACGGTACACCCGCTGAAATCTTCAAGTCTTGTGTTGACACTCTGGCGCCCTGGCTCCATGAGGTGATTGAACGAGCGTGGAGAGACGAGGTTGTTCCTGATGACTGGGGCTTAGGCATTCTTGTACCTATCCTCAAGAAGGGAGATAAGACGAGATGCGAGAATTACCGCGGCATAAGTCTCGTCGACGTTGCAACGAAGATTTTCGCTATTGTCCTACTCAGGCGATTCCAGGCTGTGCATGACTCAAGGACGAACCCAGCCAAGCCGGATTTCGTGCTGGACGAGGATGCGCAGACCAGATATTTACAGTGAAGCGCATTCTCGAATTTCGCCATAGCTACCAACAGCCGACGGCTATTGCTTCATTGACTTTGCTGCCGCGTTTGATTCCGTTCACCGTGAGTCCCTGTGGCGGATAACGGCGTTAGATGTTGTACCGGCAAAAATCATCGCCATGATCAAGGCCTATTATCGCTCCACTACTGCGAAGGTCCTGGCCTGCAACAATCTTTCCCAACCGTTCGGTATTCGGTCTGGGTTGTATCCTGTCACCCATACTGTTCAACTATGATATTGATTGGATCATCGGGAGGGTCCTACGCGAGAGTGACGGCGTTGAGTTTGCAACCGGACATCGACTGACTGATCTCGATAATGTCGATGTTTATCGCCTTACTTGCTTCAAGTTTTGGTGATCTGCAGTCTGTGGTGTCACGGGTGAACGAGGTCGCCAAATCGGTCGGTTTATCCATAAAGGCTGGGAAAACCAAAGTGTTTTCAAGATGCATCCCTGACCAGTAGGAGGCATCCCTCGGGATTGATGGCTGTCAACTTGAAGAAGTAGACAGTTTTAAATACCTCGGGGTGAGGTTGCTGCCTAATGGACAGAGTAAGGACCGCATTGTCTCCCGAATCGATGCTGCCCGCTGGGTTTTCTCAAGCCTTCGGAAATGCCTATGGAACCGACATGACCTCTCCATCGCCACTAAGATTCGCGTGTATCGTGCATCTGTCCGGTCTGTCCTTCTCTACGGTTGTGAGTGCTGGGCTTTGTGCGTGCAGGACGAGCGAAAACTGGAGGTATTTGACCACCACTGCTTGAGGACCATCCTTCGAGTGAAGTTCACCGACTTCGTTTCAAATGAGACAGTCTGCGCTCGCTGCGACAACATCGGAAGGATAACTCAGGCCATTCAAGAAAGACGACTGAAGTGGTTCGGACATGTTCTTCGTCGTCCACCTCAGAAGCTCAGTATAACTGCCCGCTATCCGGCATCGTTGCCCCATTGGAGGTGTCGAAGAGGGGGTCAGTTCAAAACCTGGCCCGACACAGTTCGTCAAGACATGGAGGTGGTTCTTGGACATTCGATATTCGGTCTAAGTCGTTGGCGAAGGGAATGGGTTGGACTGTCCAGATCTGCTGCCGCGGATCGTCACGCGTGGACAGGTACAGTTCGGGACATCATCGAGGCCGGCTAGATCAGACATGATCGCAGCCGTATCAAGTACAAGTACGCCCACCCCGAGGGAAAGCAGCAATCAAGAGGCCGCAACCGGTACCTCTTTGGTACAAGCCGTCGCATTCCACTTATAGGATTGCTGTTATTTTAACCATCGTCAGGAGGCGACTTTGGAAAAATTTGCTTCACATCCGTCCGCCACGAGGAATCTGCGGGATGGGGGACTGTCAACCCTTTAGTTGACTGATGTGCTGCAGTGTGGGGTTGCTGTTAGGGTCCAGTTTCCTCAAAGTTTTGACATTTCTGGGCGTCATATTTTGCGGCCTCGAACATCTACACCGGTCCACCAATAATGAATCGATTCGCTATTTCAGTGTCCATTTTGGGTCAATCGAGTTAAGTATTGCCTTGGCATGTTCACCCCGGTCTGTTTTGATTACTGTTGATTTGTCGCCGATGCAGCCAGCTCCTTATTTCGGTCTATACTTGACAAGGACTAAGCTGCAGTGCAACCACTGCAGTCGTCGCATGTAGAAACGAATCAATTTGAGGGAATTTCATTTAGATAAATATTTACTCGGGGCAAGATTTAGTCTTATGAAAATGCTTTAAAAGCGCGGTTATCTGCTAAGACCCTGAGCTATTAACTGTCGTCGTATCATGGTACGTCAGATGGTACCACTGATTAATTTGACTCGTGTTGAAGGCTTTTCGCAGAGAATACCGTTGTTGGTCAGTTCACAGCTAGGAAGTTAACAGGGTCAAGCATTTCCTTTTAATCCCTTCTCCAGGGTGGCGTGCCCCGGCGGAGTCACTGTCTTACAGAAAACCAGTTTTTCTGGGAAATTGCTCCGCTGACCTCGTCGACTTGCTTGGATAACTGCATTTCACCATTTATTATCAAAACAAGGTCTGAGAACTATTCTTGCTATCGGACTATCGAGGTGCAATGCAAAAGTTCCTTCCGAGCAGCATAAATCGTGACTTCTTTGTCTGTTGGGGATTAGGCGTGCTTGCTTCATCTCTTTACTGTGGGTTCCTGTGTGTTTGGTTTCCCGATTAGCGATCATGTTTGGCGTTGGGTCTGATCTTTGAGCTCTCTTCATGCTTCTGTTTGTTGTAGTACAAAGGCACCATCTTTTGTGCTGCAAATGGTTTCAATTTCGGGACCGCCGCTAGTGTGTCCCTGAGAGTTCTGTGACTTATGAACTGGAATTTCGAACGCACCGACCACCTTGTCTGGTCTTTATTTAGTCATATTGGTTGATAATTTTGTGCGCCCTTTGGTCAGCAACGGTATGGAGAAGGACCCCACTTTACTGACCGCAGACTGTGAATCACGTCATATGGGCTTTTATCTTGGCACCCATTCGCAGGTCTTCGCAGACATTCTGCTGCTAATAACAATCACCTCCCATGACTTCAAACCAACATTCAAACTCCTTTATTTTTCGAGATTTGCTTTTTGTTTATTTTCAGTTACCGCGCTCATTTCCGTTGTCGTACGAAAACGTACGATGAGTCTTTCAGGAGAAATCCAGACAATTTCTGTTTTCCTGCTTTTCGTCAGCTTACTGTCTAGTGCGCTGCCCCATTCGTAAAACTCCCCGTATCACCAATCACGTATGACACGATCCACGGTCTACCAACAGTAGAGTGGGGTCCTCTTCCATATCCTTGCCGACTGGTCTTCCAGGCATGCTTAAGACTCGTCTTTTATTTCGTTCCATCTTAGCTAGTGGCCGTTACTAAATATTAATGGTGTGATTTATTCCTCTTTCATGCCATAGCATTATTCACCGAAAACCACGAGCGAGCACTAGTCCTTATTGCTGCTGTGATGACACGTATGAGGTCTCCTCGCTAGTGTCGAATCAATAAGGCTTTGCAGGTGCCGCTTATGGATCGAAATGCAGTTGACGCACTATTGTTAGAATGCAGCTGAGCAGTGATTGATGCCCTCAAAAATACTGGTTTATTCTAACAAATCGCAAAGCGGAGCACTGAGGACTCGTAAACGATGCTCATTTAGGCGAAGATATGAGTTATAATCCGAGGAGAAATATATAATTTGAAGAGCTCTACTGGCTGTTTAACGTCTTAAACAGCCTCCCATTGTACGAAATCGTAATCGAAATGTTACAGGATGGTCGGGCTACGTTTATTCATCCTGACATTTCGCATTGTTGAACTTGCTGTCTATTTTCGCAAACTAGGAACACAGAATTAGTCTTGTAGAACAGTTAGAGTATACCATAGTACTTGCTGGGCAATATTTGCGTCGCCCCAAAGGTTGATCATCGGGACTGTTATGACCCTGCCTCGTCCTTAGAATTCGCGTGGAGCGTATGCGCACCCGACTCTTATCCCCAATACCAACGCGGCAGAGAAGGAGAACGAGACCGGTCACGAAAAAGTGTATTAGGAAATTACAAGTTAAGTCAAGCTTGAGAAAACGCACGTGGCCTCCACTGATTGGCTGGCTCTTGTTTTTGGGAGTGTAGATACTCCCAACAGGGACCTCACCAGCCCCGTAACTGATGCTGTACCTACAGTAGTGGTCTGACCGCGATGATCTCAGTCACTTCAGTCTTGGGCGACCGCGCGTGCGGGAGTGGCGCCTAGGCAGTTCCGCACCTGTCGCGTGTCGACGACCGTCCTTGATTTTATTGCTGATGTTTGCGCTTCCCAAATTCGTTCGCTGAGGCTTGGCTGTTTGAGTCCGTCTACACGACAGATTAAATGCCGAGACCAGCCATTTTCAGAAGTTGCTGAAGAATTTTGGTGGCCTTGAAGTGTCTAACTCAGGAATTCGACCGATGCTTGACAAAATCCTATAGGCGTGATACTGATCAAGCGACCTAGACGCAAAAAGACGGAAGTTCCACAACCACAGAGGGCGAATTTCATCCGCCTCGCATTCACAACTGCTCGCCACGATGAGGGATGAAGGGTTGATTTCCACACACTAAAACGGGATATGCGTAAGCAAGCCACCACCCTTCTCTCAGGTTATTTGCCAATCACATTTTCTGTCCACATAGGTAGGCAATTTGGCTGGCACGTCGATGCATGGCATTCCGACTGTCAACACTTTAGTGAACACCCATGCAGCAGCGTGGCCCCCATTAATTAATCACCACTGTAGGCTGTTTGTACTAATAGTAGATTTGCCGTCATCAAAGCACGAAAGGAGTGCGGAACGCAGTCGGCTTGAGCATCCAATTCACAAGTGGTATGGAAACAAACGACTTAAATACTCTGACATCCACGTGTACCCTTGTGCAATTGGGGAACCACGAAATGTGGGGTTCACAAACTCCTCCAGCAGTGCACCAGCCAACAAAGTGACTGAACACCTCGACTTCCTAGACCCTTCAGGGAAGACGGGCGCTTAAGGAATGCTGCCCGGCAAGGCAGTCCGAGACCGATAGCCAAAAAACTGCGAGCCAACAGTTGAAAGTGGTCGTGGCTGTCCTTCGATGGCTACGGCCCCTCAGGGTAGGACGGTGAGACGCAACCTACGGCCTGACTGTTGTCTGATTAATTACAGACAGCCGAGTATTGCAGCCTAATGCTGAGATCATAACTTTATTAACCCGATATCTACGATTATAATTGGAACCCCACCCGAAAACGTATGAATATTGGGAGATAAACAGGTCCACGTGCCACATTTTTCCCCACAGCGGCTGCTTACAAAGCCTTACGTAATAATGACTGCAACCACATCGGCGAAACAGGCGAACGTTGCAGATACGACTGCACAAAAGGATGCCGGAGGCTGGATCTCAATTCGGTTTCCGAGAAGCGACCATTGAAGGCGTAGACCGTGGTTACACCTCCACCGGGAATGGAAAGGGGACTAAGATGTCAATTCTGCCCTCCAGCGCATCGATCTCCCGCGATCTTACCAGTTCTTAATCCATTTTCTCCACGGTAGGCATAAAGATATCAAAGATGGATTCGAACGGGGGCGACTTGAAAATCGACTTATCCGACAAGCTAACTCGTTACCCAGCAGGTTTAACTACACTCCATTGACGTGACTATTAACCATACACGACGACCACCGACATTTCGACCGTCGCCTCCGACGATGTCCACCGTGTGCTCGGCAGCAAGATTAAGCGGGCACGATGATTTGTGCGTGAATTAATTTGTAGGGAATGTAGGCTTGCGCAACGTCTATCGCACTCTGTACTTCTCCCCCACTCGGGCTTAAAGACAACACGGGGTCAAGAAGAGGCGGAGGAGCGCGCAGATGGGTGGCACTGTCGAGCTCGCACCTTGGCGATCCACTCCACACCTCCTGGTCCACACAGCAAATGACCAGAAATTTAACCAACAGCAACAGTGGGGAGGGCGGCAGGAGTCGCATGTGCGCGACGTTTGCCGGCAACTGGGTCTGCCGCCACACCCCGAAATTTTGGCATTTGTTATGATGTGCATTCCGAAATCGCCTGCCAGAATTCGATATGGCCCTAGTGCTGGTCCAGCGCGTCTACCACGTGGCCCGTATAAAGGTAACCACTACCGCTGTCGCGTACGTCAGGCAACCCCAAGCAGTCCCTGAGTGGAAACAAGAAAATCGGTTGGGAACAGTTCCGGCCAAATCCAACAGGCTTTTTGCAGTCGGTTTGTCTGTATCAGCAGACTCAGCTAGAAACCAGATTGCTGACATGTTTCATCCAGTGGTATATTTTTTCTTCCTTTTCACAGTCGACTCACTTGAGACACGATCAACTGCCTCATGCATTTTATGGCTGGGGCAAGATCTTTGTCTTTTGTGAAATTAAACTTGAACCATGTTCCGGTCCTCCTGATTGAGATATATATCATGGTATCTGGTCTCATCTCCGTGACTTTCGCATAAGTCCCGAAATGGAAAAGGAATGGGACGTAGGGAGATTTAGTCTGAGTTTGCAAATTCTTTCTTATTACTAACCCACCCCTGTCACTTTTTGACTATCGCGACCTCTTAGCTGTCATGTCCTTGGAGGTTAACGACTGACAAGATACTACGTTAGTGAGGCTGTTATGACTTTTACTTCAGTTCTGGTGGACAAGAGTGTTTGAGCATTGATCCGGTCTGCTGGGAAAAACATAATAGCATGTGTGTAACATGCAAAACTTGAAAAAAGATTCCTCGTCAGCCAACTGTGCCCAAGCTCTTTCCCAGTCAGTTGGCCACCTCCTTGCAACTTGAACACAGTGGAGGATGAGGAACAAGAGCAGTCGAGACAGAACACTCGCACTTTATTCCGACTCACTCATTCTTCTGGCAGCTGTGATCTCTGTCAAGCACGACAGAGGCATTTTCTGGACGTTATTTTGGATTCGTTATTTTACAATTCAGGGCCAAAGGTACCGTACTTTGATGTTAATTGACTAACCTCCTTCCTACATTGTCATGTGTTTACGTAGTTTGGGTAGAGTATCTGGTAAGACCGGGAAATCAGACATACTGTTTTAGTATGATGCTGACGTGTTCTACGTCTGTGCCTGGGCAAAGGGTACGAGTCATACAGATGTTAGAAGTTAGTGCCAAAAGTTTTCCTTAGTATGCCGTAATGGGATTGACACTATCCTACCTGCCAGCGTGGCACCTCATACCCAAATTGTTGATCGTCGTAAACTGTACAGCACTCATATATCCATGCACTCGGTCTATTTCCACCCCCCCCCCCTTTGAGGTGCACGTCTGTCACTTTGTTCAGTCTAGATTTGTATTATATGTATACAGCCTTGGTGAAGCAGTCCCCGAAACTTTCTCCGTCTCTAAAGAAACGCAATGTTTTTTCAAATTAATGCAGAAACGGTTTTGACGGGCGATTTCGAGCGCACTCTAGACTCCGTGGATCATGTGTATAACGTGAACAAGGGGGCCCTCGACTCTAGTCTGTTATACATCAAATCAAAAAGCTGATGCAAATGAGTATTCGATGTTGCATTTGCTATTTTGTGATACTTTTCTTAGCCGAGGACAGGGTTAACTGAGAAGCAAAGTCGACGCTGACTTTTCTTCCCCACTAAAGTTAACACCTACGCGAACACATTGTGATTGTCAGGATTGGTCAGCTAACTGCAAACTCGGAGCTCATGAATCCGCTTAGTTTCACCTTTACGCATGCACCGGCCACAGATGAGAACAAATTCTCAGTTGCCAATCGCTTAAGGATAAAGGCAACTTCTCCAACCTTGTCTTCCTGACTTCTGACTTGAGAATGGGATGTCTTAGCGTGCTTGAGTAATCTCTACTCTCAGATGCCTTGTGTTTCAAAATATCAAAATCCAACGAATAAATGTCCGTCTCTACTACATCTAAGAAGTACTTCGATACAACCGGTCAACAAGGGAAACTACGATCCAAACAAGGGGTTTGGCGCGCAGGTTAACTTTATCCTGCCTACTACCGTGCATAATGTCCCCTGGGTACACAGTAAAGCTATTAGCATGGATACTTTCAGTTTCCTGCTGCTTATTTCACGTCCCGTCTGCTGCCTGTGGTCGAGATAGTGTTTGTCGACATCCGTGCCTGGTGTAACATACCAAGACGTCTCGCTAAGCTTGGTCAAATGGACGAATAACTGAATTATTTGAACCTCTCCTTTGCCTAAGTTTCTGCTGGGCTAGTTCGACCGAGAAACGGTCTTTCGTGGGTAGCCCTCTTTTCAGCCTCCTTAGTGATCTGTCTATCATGTTTTGTTTAAACACCTGTAGATGCCATACGCAACAATGAGCAGTATCTTGGCTGCCATTCAGAAGTGATTCGGCAAACAACGATAGAATGGTTCCACGGAAACCGAGATCGATACAACGGGCGAGCAAAACGGCGACGCACTGCCGATATGGTACAGAATTTTCTACCAAGTAATAACAACGCATTTAATTAGGCTCCCCTGGATTGTTCAGCGACCAGCCGTGACTGTACATCAAAAAAAGTTACCCGGTAAATAGAAGTATTTCTAACAGCAAATAAAATATTTAAATTGCCGTTAGAATCTCTAATTGTGTGATATATTACACATTAGAGTTTCTAACGGCAATTTGAATATTTAATTTTCTGTTAGCAATACGTTTATTTACCGGGTAACTTTTTCTGATATACTTTCTAATACATTAATACTGATATAATTTTATATCGGTATTTTCTGGCATTTTATGTCAGAATTACATGATAAATTACTTTAAAGGGGACTGAAACAATTTAATAACCATAACCAACTGCCTTATTATTCCTTTAGTCCCCTTTAAATGTATTTATCACGTATTTTGACATGATAAATAGTCCAATAATTTTTTCATTCCTCAAGTTAAAGTTCTGAGTGCAAATTAAGTTATACGCCGCGCATGCCATTTACTAAAACATAAATATTACCAAAAGTGATAATGAAAAGAATTATTAATATATTTTTGTAGCTGGGTTTCTTTTCTTACATGAACCTGCCGTGGATGAGAATTTCCGTCAACAGTACACTGGTGATTAGTTGACAGAACAATACGGATCTGTATCTCATATGCCTCATATACATCCTCCTCAACCCCCTTTTTATTTTATATGTTCAATAAACTTCCACATGCACGTTCTTACTATTCATTGCTTTTGTTTGTGTATACCTCGGGACACGTTTGATTTGTCGGCGTAAACACTGTAGTAAATCAGGGTGGGTAACATTTAGTACACGCAAATGGTATGGGTGACCCGCGTTCCAATGTGGAATAGTATAACCTACTGTGCGGAGAATGAGGTAATGGAAAACACCGGCAACGTAAAAGTGCAGTTTATATCACGGAGGGGGTGTCGTCCCCCTTGGCATTTTTTTCCGAGGACGGAGCTAGACGGGGCTCTCCCGTCCACAGCCCCGTCAAAGCCCCTCCCGAACGGGGCCCAGCCCCCTCTGGCCCCGGTGCATGACTGGGCCAGACGGGGATGGTGCTATCAGGGTTGCATGAGATCTCGAATTCATCTCTGCAGAGGAATGAAAGGAGAGAAACCCTTTTCATACATCAGCATAAGTGCAGAAGTTAATATGGTGGAAAGGCTTCCAGCTACACCGGCTATGCGGTGTGCGGTGTGGAGACGATAGACTAAACAGTCAGACTAGTAACCACAAGCCAAAGAATTTATTTATCCGAGAGCTGACCAAACATATCATCCGAAGGAATTTAAAGTGGTAAGATTCTAACTCATCTTGTAACTTACAGTTAAGGGTCGATATGCTACCTAGCAAAAAACTCGAGAACCGATTATCATCGGTCCTTGCTCTCGGGAACACAAATCAGTGGAATTTACTCTTGCATTCGAATGAACCTACACTGGGGTCCTTAAACGCAACACTGACAAGATTCGCACTGGGTAGCTCACTGTATATTAATTATCGGCCATGTGCTTTTTCCTTTTGGCTGGCCGAGCTCGTCTCGAACTTTGACGGCTAATGAACATATTCTATGATTCCTTGTGAACGGTGGGAATTAACCTACTAGGCTTCCGATCGTCCACCAATTGTACGGTATCTGTAAATGGAAAAATTATTGAAGATGTTAAATTATGGGGGCCTAGTTAGTAGTTGGCGTCGCCCACTTAAAATATGGTCGGAAAATTCGCACATATATCCAATGCCAGGGGCTATGGTTTACTGATGCTGGCACTCCGCTTTTATGAGACTTTTATGCAGGACATAATGAGCATAAAGGCCATGGGTTAATCTATCATGAACACCGTCTTTTTACGTGTTAATTATTAGTCCGACTGATGGTATAAAGCGGAAGATTTGACATATTTAAAATAGGACCAAATTTGAAGTTAGGAAGGTATTATGAAAGTGTTATGCAATTTGTTCCGTTTTCAAGAAAAGGCATCTATTTCAATATTCCAATAGAGCCTGATTTACTAGTTTAGTGGTGCAAGTATTTAAGAGTTGATCGAGTCATGACTCTATTGACTAGTTAGATAGCAATAGTAATGATCTCTCCTAGCCTACTCAACATTTAGTTTCTGACCATCAGAAGTAATGAATCAGAAATACACTGTGAGACTGAACAGTAGTGCGAGAGATATTACTGAGTTCCACAACAGCGAAGACATCCGTAAACGGAAGCGCTGCAAGCGAGACAAGGAGTAGGTCATGTTCGAGCGATTAAGCGACAGACTGGCAAATACGTACCAAGCGCATCCACCAAATCACAAGTCGTTTTTTCTTCATTATTTAGCCATTGAATTACGGATGGAGTGTTGGTGAGAATTGGAAACTCCAGATTCAGTTCACTGCTCCCCCAACTAAATCAACTCCTTCACCACGACTTGGAAATGATTTTTGGCATATATCGGCAGTTTAAATCTTTTACAAAACAGTAATACTAGGTCAAATAATAATATGACAATCATATCATATTTTCCTCTTGATAGGTTTTGTAAGGAACCTTCATTAAAAACAACGGGTTTAGGCGCGTGGTGCGAGGATATATCCGTGGGTAAACTCGAGTGCTATAAATATATTTTTTTGAAAACATGCATAACAAAAAGATTAATTCAACAGAAATCAGTTCCTTGGGAAAAATAAGATTGGTGTAGCTTTCTCACCTGTAGCGATGCAACCATTCTTCGTGATGTCATGTCCAATGTTTCCAAAGACATCCTAGAGTTTGTGCCGCGTAGATATAATAAGTCTAATTCTGTGGATTCCCTTGTTCCTTATTGTCTTCGTTACAGACTATAAGGTTGCGACGGTAGGTGCGTGACCTATCCACTAGTTCGTTATCTATTCACTTTAGAATTACACAAATTTTCGAAATTGCCTAAAGGATGCGCCAAGCGCGCGACAGGCGAAGAGAATCACTTGCTCTCAATGACCCGAACCCTGGCAAATCCGTCCTTAATATCTTTCAGCATCAGCCCTCCTCTAAGAAAATCTTCCTCATTGATGACACTGACAAGGCGGAGTTGCTTAGTACCTTCTTTGCAAAACACCTTGTTACTGAGTACGAACCAGTCTCTCTGTTTCGTCGCCATCATATAGGACATTGAGTGCAATTGATGTCTCCTCACATCTAATTAAAAGAACATAAGTCATTCGAAAAACCCACACTGCCTAAGAACGGATGGGATTTCAAATTCGATTGAAAAACAGGCATCCGACCTTGCCATATTGCTTAGTCATTTATTCTCGGTTTATAAGTGTCCAAAATATTTCTTTCCTGAAACATGGAAGACGTCAATTATCAAGTCTATCTTCAAGTCTGGATCTCGATCCGATGTTAATAACTATCGGGGCGCTCACAAAAGACCGTCTCTAGCAAAGCTTCCTGAAAGGATAATTTTCAATGAAATTCTTGACTTCTATCTAGCTAATCAACTTCTGAGCTCTAGTCAGCATGCATTTCTGTCTGAACGATCTTGCAAAATTTGCCGCTTGGCATTTCTCAGTCTAATTACTTCTCTTCGTAATGAGTAGCAGTCAGTGGTAGTTATCAGCTTTGGTCTTAGCAAAGCCTTTGGCAAGGTGTCCCATAGACGTCTTTTGGTAAAATTGGAAGCTGTCGGCATCCGGCCTCCTCTACTCGACTTCATTGAGTCCTCTCTATCCAACCGGTATCAGAAAGTCATGGTCGGTAATAGCTACTCGACACCTCACTCAATCCCGAGTGGCGTACTTCAAGGCACGGTTCTGGGTCCGCCACTCTTCCTTCTTTACATCATTGACATTTTGATTGAACTCAGAAATTCGCAAACTTTTATTTATGCCGACGAACTTAATGCACTAAGAATACAACTTTTCAAAATGTACGTTTTTTGTCTCCTAGATTATTGTTCAATTTTCTTCGGCATAATGCCCTCAGACGGCTGAAAAGAACTAAAAGACATTCAGATATGTTTTACTAGATTTTCATCCAGAAGTGATGGCACCCAGGGTTCATACTTAGAACTATAGCATAAAGACGGTCTTTGATCTCTTTGGATCAGAAGACTCCAGAATGGTCTATACTTCCTATTCAAGGTAACCCATGACCGAGATATTCTCAAAACGAATTTATTAGCAAACCAACCCCCACCCTCCCCAGAAACAGCAGAAATAACAAACATATTTTAGGGATCCCCAGATTCACAAAGTCCCAACGACCAAAATTCTATCCCATAAGATATGCCACTATCTGGAATGCTCTTCCAAATTCTATGCGGAAAAGTCAAGCCATAGTCAAGTTTAAGATGAAAACTAAGAAATTCCTTTCAAATCACAATACACATATATTTTTGAATAAGATTGGTCATCAAAAGAAGAGGAGGCGTTCACCGGGAGAGGTGTATTTGAGGTCTGACGTTTCGGGTAGTCGTTTCTTCTACCCATCTTCAGAGACTGAGCAGTCGTGCACACAGCTTTCCTTTTATGGCGCACTTTGTCCAATGCCTGGCCCATCAATGCCGCCTGTGTGGCTGCATCCGACCCGCATGTCATCGTGACCTGAATCCCGCCCATCTTCATCGGCCGCGGTGATAATTGGCGGCCCCGATTGTCCTGCGCCGTGACTGTCCCCCGTCAAGAATGTCCGTAAAACCAGATAAGGGGAGGTAAATTGATGTGGTGGTTGACAGAACAGTCTGTAGACATCCAGGCTTCTTGTACCTGCCTTGCCGTATGATCATCACCTCGGCCCACAATTTCAACGGCGTCAAAGTTAAAGACGTGTCCCATTTGGGCGGCATGGGTTGCTACCTCCGACTTTGGGTCCAACCTTCGCACGGCCAACTCATGCTCGTGCATGAGCGTTTGCAGCCGTCGGACGGTTTCCCCAACGTAGTTACACATTCCGCAGCTACACTGAAGTCGGTAGACAACAGCCGACATCTCCTGTTTAGGGATCGGGTCTTTTGGCCGCATCACTTGCCGGCGGATTGTTGAGTCGGGCCTGTGGGCAACGCCTATTCCGAGCGGCGCGAGAGATCTGGCTACGGCTTCGG